TTTGTTTTTGCTGAGGAAAGCTGCAGTCTAAGTAGTTCAGTTAACTGGGAGTGAACTGGGCAGGCTTACGGTGACCTTCACGTACACATTACTTACACGGACACACATATGCAGAAACGAAGATGGGTGAATGCAGAAGCCGCATAGTACTGTTAAGAAATGCTCTTCTCTATAGCGCATAACGAACGTTAGCGGTTTCATAAGTTGTGAGAGTATAACAGACTGAGTAAGCTTAATGACGATTAATGCCTGATAGAAAAAAATTTGTCAGAGGTGAATCCCAATACTTTCTCTTTTCTGTTTTTGTTCTGGATTAAGGAAGTACGAAGAGGAAGAACCTAGTAAGTCATGTTTTGGATTATTTACGTTGGTGTGAATGTCTGTTTTAACGGTAAAAAAAAGTAGCTGGATTTTTGGTTTTCATAGGTGCTGAAGTAAAATGTGATGTGACTGACACGTAGTGTTATCGGTGTATAACCTTGAGGATATTCAGGTTGGTCTAAGAGTCGGAAGAAGAAGAGGAAGTATTGTTTTTTAAGTACTAGGTACGTCCATTTTTTTATGTTACCAAACTGTTCAAGCTGTAAGTTTTTTCTTCGCGGGAGAATTGGACTTTTTCCCTGGAATTCTACGGAAGTCAGGTATTTCATTTGCTAAGATCAAGTGATTGTTGCTGTTTTTTGAATAGAAATTAAAAGGTTCGATTGGTAAATTGGGATCTCTTTGTTGGTCACAACTGCAGTAGCCCTTTCGATTTAGCGAGACGTACTAGTGATTTTTTGTATTAAAACTGAGTTTTAACGGCCTCAAATGTCGGGGTGACCTAATCGTTTATTTTACTGTGTAAGTCTTTCCAGCAATTCGAGTGTCAGTATGGTATAGTGCATAGGGTACAAGAGTAGAAGTTTTATTATATTAGGACTGTGCGGAATTACCCTTTGGGATTTACAACTCTGAATGTAGTAGTTCGTTTGGAAGTACATATGGCGTCAGTTCATAAGAAGGATCTTGAACATTGACAGATACTGCTAGACAGGTGTTTTTCGTTACTGTTTAGTCGCGTTTTAGTGCCATTACCAAAATTAGGTGGTTTTTGTTGACGTTATTACGCCCAAAAATTTTTCATTAGATTGGTTGAACTTTATTTTTCGCTGAAATCAAAGAAGTTCTCAGCTTTCTGAATTTTCTCGTAGGTCACAGTTTTTTTGCGGAGAAATATTTTTTCTCTTTGGATGTTATTTATCTATTTATTTTTTGCCAAAGTCTTTGCTGTTGTAGGCGTCAAAAGTTTAGTGTAATTGTCTTGGGAAGGTGCTATCTTGTATTTAATTATTAACAGAATTATTAGCAATGTGCTTCTTCGTTTTTTTTTCTCTGTTTTACTGTTTATCTTGCCTTGTACTTTTGTTATACTGAGAATTTGGAGATCTGAGAGTCATTTCGTTACTCCTGAGTACAAATTGGTCAATTTCAATTCATTAGTATAGATGTTTAAGCTCTCTCTCAGATAAAAAGGCCGAATGTATGAGAGCAGTTATTAACAGGTTCCAGATTGATCTGCTTGCGTACATTGGTCTCTGTATTTGGAAGTTTTGCAGGCTGCTCTTTTCGTGGCTTTGCGCTTGTCAACCTTTGGTTCATCTTGAGGGTTATTTTAAATAGTTTTATAAAGGCACCGCATAGTGCTACTGTTAAGTGATGTCGGTATTTGGCAGAGGATTTGTTGCTGCACTTCACTTAGCTATATTTATCTATAATTATGTTTTTCTGACTGACCAATTTATTCTCTTTTTCTCATGTTTTAGTGGATTAGTTATGTAAAGCACTGATTTAATTGTTGTTTTCAGGTTTATGGTGGTTAAACAGGTTATTTTGTTTTTCTCTCTTGTGAGTAAAAATTTGGTTTCAGTGTTCAGCGAGTGATGAACGGGATGGCGACTTTTCAGAACGATGTTCATAATGGCTGTTTCTTAGGTTCTGGCGCCACCCCAACATCTGGTTCGCAGCGTGGGTCTGCCCAAACAGCAGTTCCTGTTCAGGGATCTGGTGTCGTAACAGGATTAATGCCAATATCCACTTCACAACCAAAGTTGGCTACGAATGTTAGTTGTTATCATTATAATAATCTTATTTTATCTATTTTGTGGGGTAAATTTTTGGTAATTAGACATGTTTATCTGTTCCCTACATGAAATATTTTCGCTATTTTTGTTTACTGCTATATTACTCTCTAGAAATTTCACATCTAAGAAGGCTACAATAGTTCTGAATGCGGAGATGTCTAATTTAATCACTGAAAGTTGTCCTTTAGGAGTTTCAGTAATGTCCTTCATTTTTAAAACTCTTACGTTTTTTCTCTGTTAATTTTGTTGGAAAAATGATGCTTCAAATTCTTCTATGTATCTACACAAGTTTCAGTCATTTGTTCCGTCGGGTTGTGTGCTGGTGGATGGGACTGGTGTAGTGCAACCAAATGTTGTGATTACTACGCAGTATCAAGCGACAGCATATCAGGCTTCATATTCTACGGTTAGTTTTTTTGTAGGAAATTGTCTTGTAGTTTTGGTCATTTTTTTATCCATGTTCGTTTTTTCTTTTGTTATTGTGTCTGAATTACAAATCAATAGTTCATTGATCTCCAGGTCATGCAACGCGTTTATTCATCTCCTGTTATAATGTCCTCTCAGCAACAACCGACAACGGGTTATATTTTGGCAGCTCAAGATAACAGTAACTCAGCTGCTGCGTATGCTGATGACAACCCAGGGCAGCAGAATGCACCTAGTGGATCATTATTTTTGAATGTACCTGTGCACGAAGAGCCGGTCGTCGCGCAGGTATTTGTCACTATTGTTACAGTTTTTCGTTCGTTTACTGAGTGTTTTTGTCTCCTTTCTATTTTTGCACTTGTTTGTTTGTTGTTGTTTGTTACGGTGATTGATTTTTGCAACAGCAGTTACCTTTGCTTTCAACAACTAGGGTCTCAAGGAGGGATCAGAAGTGGCAGAAGTTCAGGAGTCGGCAACAACGAGTGCAGCTTTAGATGAGGAACCGGAACCGGAAGGCGAGATCGATATACAGGTGCTGCCTTATCTTTTACTATACCAGAATCGTTTTCTTATGTCCAGGTCCCTATTTAATGTTTAAGGAATATTTAATAATTTAGTTGTGCTGAAATAACTAATAAAATAAGTATTTTTGGAATTTAGATATTAAATTTTATCAAGACGAAGTTGCAGATTCGGAATGTAGTCTGCAATTTTACTCTTCCTCTTCACATTGATTTACATCGTGTTGCACTTCATTCCGGAAATGTTACTTTTGATCGTGGTCGTGGGGTTGGTTTTTTTTACTTTTGTTGTGTCAAAGTTCTCTTTTCTTATTTCTTGGAGCTTACGATTTGTGGTCTGACAAACCCGGCAATTCGGTAGTTTAATAACTCTTTCAAAGGTTGCTGTAATTGACATTTGTAAGAGGATGTCGGAAAGTGTTTGATACAGTCTGTTCACTGTTTTGGTACTTTCTTATTGCCTAAATTCTTCTTGTTGAGTTACTGGGTTGTTTCTTAGAGGCCAAATTCGATGTTTTCAGGTGCTTCTAAAGCAGAAGAGAGACCCATCTTGTTTTGTCAAAGTTTATAGCTCAGGAAAAATTTATATCGTTGGTTGTCGAAGGTTACTTTTTAAAGTTTTATAGAGAACAGAAATATGTCCACTGGATTCTTGATTTCGTGATTTTAGTGAAAGCGAATGCAAGAGAGCTGCGAGAGGCGTTGGTCGGATGGTACAGAAACGCATGGGAAAAGTTGGAGATTCTGTGCGGATTCGTAACTATAAAATTTGCAATGTGCTTGCTACTTGTAAAATGCCCTTTGGGATTAAAATAGAGGAGGTATTTCTGAAGTGAACTTATAGCCACATTCTTAAAAATTTTTATGGTCATTTTCTCGTAAATTTCATTAAAAGTAGTTAGGGTGCTACTTTCCATTTGCCTTCCCTACCAGTGGTAATATTTTTAGCTGGCGAAAAAGTACCCCGATCAGACTCAGTATGAGCCTGAACTTAAGGTCGGGTTAGATTGGAAATGTAATGACCCGAAGGCGACTTTACGCATACACACTACAGGGAGTATCACCGTGCTTGGAGGTTAATCTAGCTTTCTTCATTTTTTTTTCTATTATACTTAGTCGCTTTAGGTTGTATGCATTAGTGTTTTTCTTAAGCAGAAAGTCCGATGGTATTAGTTAAGGGACGAAGTTGTACTGGAGTAATTCCCAGTGTCTGCCTGTTGCTTGATTTTTTATAATTTTATGGTTCAATTTTAATGAAAATGTCTTTATAATTTGATTTTAAGCCGTTTCTGAGAATGACGTCATGAGGGCTATTGAAATTATTTATCCAGTCGTAAGAGAATTCCGGTGTTCTTTACGTTCAAGGGATTGTGTGGCATCAAGGAAACGAAAGCAGTTGATCAGGCGAAGCTCCAGTGAAGAGGACCTCTTCTTTGATGTCAAAAGGGCGCCTCCACTGTTGAAGCAGGTCACTTTTTCGAGCCTTGCTTTTGTTATTTATTTTATGTAATTAAGCAGATGAGTTAGTGTAACTTTTGCATTTCAAAGTTCTAGTACCGAAAAAAGATAGCTATTTTCTGGTTACTGTTCTATATTTCTTGGGAACGAAACTGTCTACTTTTTAAAATTTGCTTTTTTTAGGTGCAGCAATATGGTCAGAGAAACGGTGGTTCTTCTTGTGTATTGGGAAACAGAATTTATTTCAGTGATGAGGACGATGAGTTCGATGATGGTGATTAACAATTTTTTCTGTTTCTACATTTGATTGCTCTTTTTTAATGAACTGTAAATTGAATTTTGATCAAATGTTTTTGTGCAATTTTAATGAGTCTAGATGAGAGTTACTGGTTGAATAATTTCAAATCTAGGAAAACTGAATTTTGCTGTACTTTGTTTGAGAAAAACTTGAGTTTATTTCCAAGTGTTGTGTAGCTCCTTAAAGTGCGGAATTTTTCTAAAAGAAGTATATGTTTAGTAAAGCGTTTAAACCGTTTTATGACTGTTAAGACTTGGACTTCGTATTTAAAATGCTTTATATTAATTTCTGTGATTTGGAGCGGTGTATTGTCATTTCATGTTGTTGTAATATTTCTTTTCATATCTTACTCAAAGGTGTTGATCTCTTAAATAGGATTAGGGTGACGGGTGATGTTGGTCCTTTTAATGTTTGTTAATTCTTAGTTTTTTGCTTGTTTGAGCTTGCTGAATCTGAAAGAGGACCTTATATATTTTTAAAGATTAGCACAACTGGGGCGTCAAAACAGAGTTTTGTGGCGTCGATTGTAAGGGTTTTGTGGGGGGGGAGGCTGTGTAGTTGTTAATGTGCTTTCCTAAATGAATTCGCACCAAAGGAAAACGGTTATTGTTGTTCTAGGTATTAATGTATTGAATCCTTTTTTGATATGAGCAGTACTTGTCTTTTTGCACAATTTGCATGGTGAGCTTTAAGTTTATTTTGTTCCCCTCTTGTCTGTTGAAGGAACCAGATATGGAGGGATTTATTTTCTGTCTGATGTTCGTATCCAATTTGGAAGTGTATTTTATATTTTATTTTCTGCTTTATTTTGGACTAACTGTGCTACGTTGAATTTTGTTTGCGTATTATATTCACCTAAACGTAGTGGTGCTCAAACGTCTCGTCATTCCTCGATTGTTTCGCTTTGCACTACCTTTCCAATGCACTCAGAAGCATGGATTGGGATTATCGTTGTGAGAAGTATATTTTTACATTTTTGTTGTGGTATAGTACAGGAGAGATCACTAAGTCCAATTGTTTTGTGATTTACAGGGATGGTCTGTTTGAGCGGGAAAGCTTCATTGGACTTGTTTTTGTAGTGAAGACGTTTGAGTGCTAGGATTTTACTCTTGTTGGGCATTAATAAAAGTTATGCTAAGTTCGCGGTTACAGCCTTTCTTGGAGTCGTGTTGTGTAGTGCACCGCTTATAAAGTATACTGCAATGTTGGGTGCTGCGTGCAGAATCAGTCATCGTCTAACGATTAGTTTAGTGGACCAGTTAGACGGTTGTCTTGGCTAGTTGTGTTGCGTGGTATAAATTTTTGTTTTGGAAGTAGCTGAGTGTGCTCATGACACGTTTTTTCTAGGGGTAGAAGAGTGGTTTGATTTGGAAATTATTCCAGTGATGCGATGGTAGCTTGAGGGGTTTTGCCGTTGTCGTGTCTGGTTGGTAAGAGAGGAGGGGTTTTGTTGATTGATGCTTTATTCTTTATGCGGTTTTCAATTCTACTGATTATGCCGGTCTCATGTTGGTCTTGTAGTTCGAGCATATATTTATGGTTTTAGGTAGTCCTTCGATAGCTGGGTGTAGTGATGAAGACCAGTTTTTCTGAAGCGTTGACTAGTCCGGAAGTTGAAATAATGGAAGGAGGAGCAATAACAGATGCGAAAACGTAACTAGTCATCCCGTCTTAAGTCACTTTTCTGATAGTTAAGTGAATTTAGTTAATGTAATCTTGGTCCTCATTTGATGGTTTTTAGCCGTTTTACTGATCTCAAGGCAATGTTAGACAGCAACAAGGATAATTTGAAGATGGATGCAATGAAGAGGATAATTAATGTTAAGTTTTGAACAAGATTTTTGTTTTTAGTTTAATTTTGTGCTTTTTATTTAGCACAGATTTAGCCCTTCTATTTTTCTAATGTTTCTGTAATGCACAAATGGTCCAGAGCCCCTTGTTAGTCAAGTTGATATCGGTGATTTGTGTGTAATTACAGTATATGTCTCAAGCAGTTAAGTTATTGTTTTTTGTAGCTTGTTGCAAGGGGCAAAGATGTATCCGAATTGTTTCCTGCAGTAGTCAAGAATGTTGCAGCCAGAAATTTGGAAGTAAGATCATATTTGGCTATCCTATTGCAAATTGCCCTGGTGTTTTGAGGGCGATTTTTTGGTTTTTTTTTCAGTAAAGCAGTCGACTAACAACCAGTCATAATAACAATTTTTAGTTAAAAAAGCTTGTCTATGTTTACTTGGTGCGTTATGCGGAAGAACAGCAAGATCTAGCACTATTGTCAATTAGTACATTCCAACGAGCTTTAAAGGTTTTGGAGCCTTTTAACTTTTCCAGCTAGTTACAGACGAATGTGATAGTGATGTTTCGATTCAGGATTATTTGATTGTTGCAGGACCCTAATCAGTTGATTCGTGCTAGCGCCTTACGTGTGCTTTCTAGTATTCGAGTTCCTATGATTGCTCCTGTAATGCTACTAGCTATTCGAGAATCAGTACGGGATATGTCAGCATACGTTCGTAAGGTTGAAAATGCATAACTTTTTTTGTTTACTATATTGTTCAGAATTGCCAGAATTATACTGAGCCATCTTTAGGTTGCTGCTCATGCGATACCGAAGTTGTATTCTCTCGACGAAAGTTTACAAGGAGAATTAATAGAATGTATTGATTATTTATTAGGAGATAAACGAACTCTTGTACTTGGCAGCGCTGTCTATGCTTTTGAAAAGACTTGCCCAGATAGGATGGACCTGTTGCACGCGCATTATAGGTCACTTTGTAAGGTAAGTCTTTAGCACAGTTTTTTCTCTGCTCAATTAATGCAGTTTTTCACCTTTGAGGTTTTACTCTTTGTGGTAAATGGAACTCATTTATGTTTTTTAAGTTCAGAGAAGAACGGATTGAAATTTGTAATGTAAGAAAAAAATATTCGTTGGAAGAGTTTTTTACAAGCCCCATGTTTGTATAGCTTTTTGCTAGTTTAGGCGTTGGCTGATGTTGATGAGTGGGGTCAAATAGTAATGATTGGGTTGCTGACGCGATATGCTAGATCACAATTCGTGGCACCTACTCCTTCAGAAGGGGTGGATCCAGATTTATCTTTATTACTTTCATCGTGTAGACCGCTACTGCAGAGTCGTAATTGTGCTGTAGTTCTAGCTGTAGCTCAATTGCTATATTATTGTGCCCCAAATTCCCTACATCCGTCTATATCGAAATCCTTGATTCGATTGTTACGAGGTCCGAGGGAAGTCCAGAACGTAGTTCTAATGAATATAGCAACTATTTGTTCAGTTAATCCTGTATGTGGCGTTCAAATTATATCAGTTGTTTTTTTCATTTCCACTACAATGAGACGATTTTCAGCGCATAATTTACATTTGTTTTTAGGTTCTTTAATGTTCCGTATACTTGAAGGTATAGCTTCAGGTCAATTTTCACCGGGTAATGAAACAAAATTTACTGCTTTGTTTAAGGACTTGTTCGAGCCCTATTTGAAAAGTTTTTTCGTTCGGCCTAACGATCCGAAGCAGATAAAAGTACTCAAACTTCAAGTTTTGACATTATTAATATCTTCAACTAATGTTCAGCTTGTACTTCGTGAGCTCCAGGTATTTATTGTCTTATCTATTTTGCGTTTTGCGCCTCTTCTCGATTAGCGTAGACGGTTTAGTATTTTCAGTTAATTTTATTTAGACATACGTTTCGATGGATGAATTCGCAGATGCAGCCGTCGAGGCAATCGGGCAATGCGCATTAAGAGTTGGAACAGTTGCTGATTCTTGTTTGTCTGGTTTAGTCAATCTAATTGCGTCTTCGAATGAGAATGTTGTTTCTGCTGCTGTTGTTGTGCTGAAAAGGTACGTTCATTTGTATTTTCGCCTTGAAAAAAAATAATTACGTTCTTAATGCATATTCTTTCGCAAACTGCAGCTGTATTAACTGGTTATGAAAACAAAAAATAGAAACATTTATTTTGCTTTCCTGTGATTTTTTCTTTCAAATTTATGATTCTAAGTTGAGGAGTAGTTTGATTTGCAAAAAGATGTTTTTAACTTTTCCGGAATCAAATCACCTTTTCCTTAATGTGCTTGAATAAATGAATCAAAAAGACTACCTAATTTTTTCTTATAATCCTTGGTTAGGTAGGTGATTTACAATACTTATAAATGATATTTTCTTTGGTTTTGTCATTATCAGCGATTCCTTTCCTTCTAAATATAAAAGCGTATCACATATTTGCCTGGTTTTAGACAGTTACCTCTACCATTTCCACCTTGTTATTTGTTCTGTTAATTCTTGTCTTTTTATTTCAGACTTTTACATTCGGATGCACCTTTGCCCTTGCTTACGCGTCTACTGCGTCTTATTGATTCAGTAAAAGCCCCTCAGGCACGTGCTTGTGTGGTGTGGCTGGTCGCCAC